TCTTTCTTCATCTGCTTGATCTTTAACACTCTCAAATCTTCATCATAAGGTTAGGCACAAGTTTGGAGTATTTGCACTTTAGTCCCTGAACTTTCATTTTCTTCCACTTTGGTCATTTTTTGCTTTTTTTTTCTAACTTCCACCTTGTCTACCAAAATGCAACCTGAATCAAAATATAAGTATAATGAGTGCATTTTGGTATAAACAATCACATGAATGCAATAATTAAAAGGGAAAAATATTATATTTTACACTCTTATCAATTGGATATTTTTGGATTAGATAAATTGACAAATTATTGCATTAAGTTTAGGATAATTATATGAAATTCTGAATTCATTCTACCACATATAAATTTATGTGTCGTGAACAGATTTATTGAATGTTACCCATTGAATGGATTGTGTGTCTGTATGTGACCATATTTAGTTTAACATTTTATGTTGTGACACGTTTATTTTTGGTTGTTATTCTATGTGATCAGGGCTGTGTAATGAGTTATTACTTGTGACTTGGTTTTTGATGACTGTGACCTTCTATGACCAATTAACATCACTTAATTGTGACTATATAGTATAGGTTTTTGCTTAACTGTGACCTGGTATAATTTTTTTTTTTTTGAATATAAATGACCCATTATGGATTAACTCTAAGTCTCTGTGATTTATTTCTTAACTGTGAATATATACAACAGCGTCTTGCTCTTAACAATGACTTACGTAAATATGAGAACATTTTTGATTTGTGACAAGTCATTAGTCTTTGTGATCATTTGTGTCCTCTTATGTAGAAACTTTAATTATCTATGACTAGGAATATATTAGTTGTGATCGACTATGACCAAGTCTGCAACCTGTTAAAAATTTGCGACCATCTATAACTTGCTTTTATGTGACTGTTATCTGATGTGATTCCTCCATAAAAATCATTACTTTGATGATATAACTAACACCATACATAGATCATCATTTACATTCAGTAAAAAAATAATAATTCATTATACTAATGAGTTGAAAAACAATCATTCACATTTAAAACCAAATCAAATTATAAATGTAAAGATAATATCTACCTAATCCATCATAAAACAACATTAGTTTGTGTATATTTGAACATACATCTCTCTCTTTGGGCAGCATTGAATTTCATCATGAAGTTTGTGGTAACGATTCGTATTAAGTTTATTGCGATCTTGTCAAGGAACCATTTGCTGAGGTTTATTAAATATTTCCAATCTTGCACAAATCAAAATGTTAGACATGCGACTATGACTTTCAACACATACATAAACATGTGATTGTGATTTGTTCTTTTGTCACCGTGACCATGATAAACAAATGTAAACATGACATTTGGTAGAAAATAAACTCATACATTGTTTCCTATTGCAACACTTGGAACATTGTAGCAAAAATAGTGTCATGTTTATAAGGATTATAAAATAGATCACAAACTATCCAAATTAGGTTAGAGAATAGTATTTAGGACAAAAAAAAACTATTTAGGTCACAAAATATTCAACACAGGTCACATAATCGTATTCTGGTCATAAAAATAGTATTGGGTTACACGGTATCCAAAACAGGTCACCAAAACTATTTTGGTTACAATATATCCAACACAGATTACAAAATTATATTTAGGTCACAAAATGATATTCTGGCCGTACAATGCCTAAAACAAGTTACAAATAAATCAAAACTAGGTCACACATTACCCAAATCAGATTACAAAATCGAAGAACAGTAAAGTAACAGAGAGTCTTCTGTGAACTGTGATTGACAATTTGGGAAAAAGATGATTTCCAAAGGTAAATTTTAGGTTGCTCAACTGATAAATATTAAGAACATTGGATAAACTAACTTTCACAAACTATTAAACACAAAAAGTGTCAATGAAAATTGATTAAAATTTATTCACAGTAAAGACAAACACAAACAAAACTTCTTTCATATATTTGAATCAAATCGACAGATATAGAAGACCAATGTATCACTTATATTTCCACATTCTACATTTTAATTTCCAGTAATTCGACAAAAGACATCTGAAAGATATAAAGTGATTTAAAAATAATTTAGATTTCCAAAAACATAGCAGACTTAAACAAAATTTTGTAGTAAACCACCAAATTAAATAACCATAAATAATCACAAGAAGCATCAAGTAATCATGAGATCTCATAATTAAACAAAAAATTCGCTTAATGAACTTACCATGAGGTGGGCAATGTTCATATACTCTATCTTAGAAACCTTATTGAGAATTTTCAAACTGACAGAAATAACGCTAGGTTTAGTTGCGCCAAGTGATATAGCTGACATACTGTAAAATAAGAAGAGATGGGTCCGACGAATGTAACACTACGGAGGCGGTCCAACAACTGAATAATGTGTGGAGATGACGACGATGGTGGTTTTTCCTTGAGGGAGGAGACGGTGAAATGGAAGTAATTCTCTCTCTCCAGTTAACTTTGAAGTTTGTTATTGATAATAGTTATTTTATTTAAAAATATATATTTTAATTTTTAAAATATAGTTAATACCTCATTTTTGAATAAAACTCTTAATGGTCTGATTTAGGATTGGACATGGTTTGGTTCGGTTAAATTCTAATAAAAATCGAAGTGGACCTGAAATTTTCGAATATTTAGTAAGTGGAACCATCCAATCCAAATTTAATTACAGAATTGTTCGGGTTCGATTCCATTAGGTTCAATTTGATTCCATTCGATTCATAGGTTCTGTATCATAATTAAATTTTTTTAATATTTACAAAATTACATTAATTTAATTAATAATATGTTCAATCTTAACTCTTATAAAATAACGTAGTTTAATCTTATGTATCTTTAGCATTTTTCTTTACTGAATTTTTCATAGATTTGATTGTTAAAATCACATGAAGGGGAAGATAGTAAACTCAAAATAAATAAAAGAGGCATTGTTGAGTTTCAATTCGATTTTTCCAGAATAATAGAAACGACATTTATGGTAGAGTAACAGATTTGGATAAAATTTAGGTTAATTTGATTACGTTGGCTTTGAATTGAAAATTAGAATAAGAAAAATCATATTTTTGGGTTTGAGTTAAATTAACTAGTTAGTAAATTTATTTTGAAAAATAAAATAAGTTGGTTTATTTAAATTAAGTTAATTAAAAAATTAGAGAAATTCAATTTTTATTCGATTATTTGGTTCGAACCCGTCGATTCTAGATTCAAATACTTGTTCGGATATTTAACTTAAGAAAAACTGCTAGGTTTTGTTTGATTTTGTTTTGTCTAGCCCTAGTCTGATTTATGATAATTAAATTTTAAAAGCATGGTTTTGGATAATTTTTCCTTTTTAAAATTGGTCATGAGCTCATTTACAGTTCACTATAGTTCATAAGATCCATTAGCCCAGGGTCGGTCCTGTGATTCGGGGCTCGAGGCGAAGTCCAAAAATTAGGCCCCCCAAAATCAGCGAAAATACAAAATTCAATGGTATATTATGCAACATGTTATTAACTTAAAACTTAATATTAAAACAACAAACAAATATCTCAATAATTTCAGAATTAATGAAAAAACTATTTTCCTTTTCATTTTCCTTCTTTAAAAAAAAAAAAAAAACTTTGAGCCAAAATAGGCCCTTTGTGATTTTGGGCCTGAGGCACAGGCCTCATTTGCATGTGCCCAGGACCGGCGTTGCATTAGCCGTATGATCGAATTGAGTTTGACTTATGGACACGAGAAAACTTGAGCTCCCCCATTCCGAATTTAGAGTTCTAAGAAATTTACAGCATAAGAAAATCAATTATCAATATCCTCCACATATTTATAAGCAAACAAAAGTCTAAGTATGAATGGCAAAAAAATCCATCAAACTCGATACTTGCTTAATCGAGTGTTTGGGTTGGGGAGATGACGGAGGATTTCGCCCCCGGTGTGGGTATGGGTAACAAGGGTCCCGCCGTACCTCGTTTATTTATTTATTTATTTTTATGAATTCAATTATTTAAATATAAAACCCCACGAAATTTCATTAATTCTAATAGAAGATGACAAATAAGATTATTTAAAAGATATGATAGATAATAAAAAACTTAATTTACCAAATATATTTCAATAATTTAACTTATAAAAATAAATAAATTAAAAATTTAATAATTATATTATTGTCCCACTTTAAAGAATAGAGACAATAAAACGAATTATTAAAAATTAAAAAAAAAAATTAAACAGGTATTGAATGGACCAGGATTCTGTCCAGCCCCGGACCCACCTAAAATGGTAACGAAGCAGGTATAGAGGCAAGAAATTACTCGATAGAGTGAGAGGCAGGATGCTTGTTCCTCCTCGAATCCGTCTCGTTATCATCCTTGAGACTAAGCATGCAATAGGTAAAAGTGTGCAGTGGCAGATGCCCTTTAATATGGACAAGGAACCTTTTTACAAACCCGATGACTAAAGCACCCCCTCTTCCCCCACCCCCTCGAAACCCGGGACCACTTCTTCAATATAACTTGCCAACCTCACTTTTCCATTTCCCCACCCTGTTTGACCCCTAGTTAAAAAACTTAATTTACCAAATATATTTCAATAATTTAACTTATAAAAATAAATAAATTAAAAATTTAATAATTATATTATTGTCTCACTTTAAAGAATAGAGACAATAAAACGAATTATTAAAAATTTAAAAAAAAAATTAAACAGGTATTGAATGGACCAGGATTCTGTCCAGCCCCGGACCCACCTAAAATGGTAACGAAGCAGGTATAGAGGCAAGAAATTACTCGATAGAGTGAGAGGCAGGATGCTTGTTCCTCCTCGAATCCGTCTCGTTATCATCCTTGAGACTAAGCATGCAATAGGTAAAAGTGTGCAGTGGCAGATTCCCTTTAATATGGACAAGGAACCTTTTTACAAACCCGATGACTAAAGCACCCCCTCTTCCCCCACCCCCTCGAAACCCGGGACCACTTCTTCAATATAACTTGCCAACCGCACTTTTCCATTTCCCCACTCTGTTTGACCCCTAGTCATAACACTGATAAACTTCCTTTTCTTGCTCTTTCCGGCAACACCTCCGCCCCATCCCCCCACCCCGTAGTCATTCTTATCTCTTTTTTCTGGCACTCTCATTGAAGAGTTCTTAACTTTCTGCCCATCAAAATATATTAAAATTAATAAACTTATATGATACTTGGTTCTTCATCCACTGCCACTCTTTTTTCAAGATTCTTATTTTCATGCTCTAACGTTCTAAAGAGCTAGCTTTTTACACTTTCTTTTGTTCTTCTTTGTGGGATATGGCGGAAACAGCGGAAGGTAAAGCAGTGCCAGATGTAGATAAGAAGAAAGAACTGAGTCTATCATTTTATCAGCTTTTTTCTTTTGCTGATAAATATGATATTGTTCTTATGACTTGTGGAACCCTTGGGGCCATAATTCATGGATCCTCCATGCCCGTATTCTTCCTTCTGTTCGGTGAAATGGTTAACGGGTTTGGTAAAAACCAAATGGATTTGCACCAAATGACCCACGAAGTATCCAAGGTTTCAACTTTTCTTGTTCCATGCATATAATTTTTGTTAATATTTTTATCATTACCGATGAACCCATATTACCAGATCTGATTCTTGATTTATATATTGGATGCAGTATGCTCTGTATTTCGTGTATCTTGGATTGGTAGTGTGTTTTTCATCCTATGCAGGTGAGATTTATGATCTGCATTTTATCTTTTATCTTTTATAATTTCGAGAGCTTTTATGTTCAAACATGGCTTCGGATCAGTCGCACGTGGTCCGTGGACTGTCTCTCTGTCCTTTTCCTCTTCTCTTGTCGATTTCCAAAATATTAGCCTATTTTATATTATCCCACCACACATCTCAATCACTATCACTGCATTAAAGTTATACTTTAGTTTTCGTTTAATTTCAAAGAGTGTTTGGTAGGAATTTTTATGTGAAAATAAATTTTTGAATAGTAAATTGATGGGAAATGTGTGGTTGAAAAATAAGAAAAAGTTTTTGATTTACGTGTAATATTATTTTAATAAAGAATGTGTCGTTGAAAAGAAGAGACAGAAAAATGCATTTTGATAAAAATGGTGCCAAACATGGCCTATAACTTCAAATAAACCCCACTTTTATTTATTTTTTAATTTTTTATTATTTTTCTGGAATTCTTTTTCCGTATCCCTTTTTTGATTCTTTGGGTTAATTTTGGAGTAATTAACAGAGATTGCATGCTGGATGTACACTGGGGAAAGGCAAGTAAGTGCACTGAGGAAGAAGTATTTGGAGGCAGTGTTGAAACAGGATGTTGGGTTCTTTGATACTGATGCAAGAACTGGGGATATTGTTTTTAGTGTCTCAACCGACACCCTTCTTGTCCAAGATGCTATCAGCGAGAAGGTTCTCTCTCTACTAGTATATAGATATATATACACACACAAACACGTGTATATAGCTTTCTCTCGACTATATGTGTATTTATACCCGGTGGCCTGCACGTAATATGTTTTTTTATTTTTTTAAAGGCAACGGTATAATCTTGTAAAGAAGGGAAACATTGGTCATTTGGGGAAGTGGATAGCCATTATTGCGGGACCCGTGTACAGTGGAGGCTGCTGCTTCTGCTGCAAATGCTCATAGCTTTATTACCTTGCTTCCTAATGGATACAACACCCAGGTTCGAAATATCTTCCCATCAAAGGATGCTATTATTCTTTCATAAGTTAAAGATATCAGTGAATTAAGTGATTTACTCACTTTGGCTTTTATTGTATGCCCTTAGTTTCCGATTCTTCACATAGTTTTCATTTGATCTTGATTAAAATTACTACTTAAATCCAAATCTAGGTTGGAGAGCGTGGCATCCAACTTTCTGGTGGTCAAAAACAGAGAATAGCAATTGCAAGAGCCATGTTGAAGAACCCGAAAATACTTCTGCTTGATGAAGCGACTAGTGCCCTTGATGCAGGTTCAGAAAGCATTGTCCAAGAGGCACTAGATCGCCTGATGGTTGGCAGGACAACAGTGATCATTGCTCATCGTCTCTCAACCATAAGGAATGTGGACTCTATAGCAGTTATACAGCAAGGGCAAGTTGTGGAAACCGGAAGCCACGAAGAACTGATTGCCAAAGCTGGGGCCTATGCGTCCTTAATTAGATTCCAGGAAATGGTAGGAAACAGAGATTTTTCGAATCCTTCAACTCGCCGTACACGTTCATCACGGCTAAGTCATTCGTTGTCAACAAAATCTCTGAGCCTTCGTTCTGGAAGTTTAAGAAACTTGAGTTATTCTTACAGCACTGGTGCTGATGGCCGTATAGAGATGGTATCAAATGCTGAAACTGATAGGAAAAATCCTGCCCCTGCTGGATACTTCTCCCGGCTTCTAAAACTAAATGCTCCTGAGTGGCCTTACTCCATCTTGGGTGCAATAGGATCGGTTCTTTCTGGCTTCATAGGTCCAACTTTTGCTATTGTGATGAGCAATATGATTGAGGTGTTCTACTATAGAAATCCAGCTAGCATGGAAAGAAAGACCAAGGAATATGTTTTTATTTACATCGGAGCAGGTCTTTATGCTGTCATGGCATATTTGATCCAACACTATTTCTTTAGTATCATGGGAGAAAACCTCACTACACGTGTGAGGAGGATGATGCTTGCAGGTATAAGCCATCACAGCGTTTTTTTTTTCGTAGCATGTTTCAAATATATTAACGGGCACAATTTCACGATATAAAATGAAAAATGGTTATAAAATCTAGTTGGTTGTATGTGCTAAACATAATGTTGTAATTTAATTTTCATTGCAACTTCATAATACAGGATCTGAAGACAAAATAAGACTCTTAAACTTTTGTACCCATGGAGTTGCTTACATATTTTTAGGCAATAATCTTGAGAAAATGTAATTTAGTCACTTGTCAACAATGGACTCACTTTATAAAAATCCTTGGATTTTGCTTCTAATACAGAGTGATTTTTATTTTTTATTTTCTCAGCAATTTTGAGGAATGAAGTTGGATGGTTTGATGAGGAGGAGAATAATTCAAGTCTCCTTGCAGCCCGCCTGGCAACCGATGCTGCAGATGTAAAATCTGCAATTGCGGAGAGAATCTCTGTTATATTGCAGAATATGACTTCTCTTCTTACTTCGTTCATAGTTGCCTTTATAGTGGAATGGAGGGTCTCATTGCTCATACTGGCTACTTTCCCTCTCCTAGTCCTAGCCAATTTTGCTCAGGTAAATCCCCCTCAATCTGCTCCGCTTACATTTGTTTTGTCATGATAACTTGGGCACAGAAGCTTATTTACCACGTGGTGGTGCATTTCAGGTAGCATCAAGTAGGATTTAATTGGTAGCACGTCAATTTTTATGGTACATGGTTGAATCTTGGCTTCTAAATCACTCACTCCATCTAAAGCACTCCCTTCTCGGTGGTAAGAGAGGAGAGGGTAAATTTGAGTGCACAACTCTTTGACAATCATATTCTAGCCTTGATGGGCCTTGCCATCGGCCTCTCTCTCCAGTTAAGCAGTTTCTGATTCTCATTTAGCTTCAGAGACCTGTAGCCTGGGTGGGTCTGTGTCAAGAAAAAACGAAATAAATTATGTGAAAAGAAATAAATTTTGAATGTTCAGTTTCGCCGTACCATCTCAAAACTGTGTCGTGTCTGCCCAGTTTACACTTGCAGCTGTTAAGAAGAAAATATCAAAGATTCTATTATTGCCCATCAACCATGAAATGTTCTTGCCTTTTTCTTATTTGAGTGATATCTACTTTCTTGAATTTATATTCGCGTGTCAGATACAAGGTTGTCTGTTCTCTTCACTATTTACTTGCCAGGTTAAATTATTTCACCTTGCTCTGACGCTGCATTGCAGTGTGCGTCAATGGAGTATTATTTTTCTGAAACTCAAAGTCACCAGAGTATGGTGGGGTTTGAATATGGGTACATGTGGTCATTGCTAGATTTTTATTATCTTTCAGTCCACCTCGATATTCACACCTCATCTGTCATAGATTCTCATCCCGTGTTCAATCTGCATACAGCTCTGTCAACATTATATGAATCACTTTTTCTTTTTCTTTTACTGTTTGAATTTTGCAAGGAGAATAAGGAAACTTGCCACAGTCTAGGGTAGAAGTGTAAACTGGACCTTGCCAGAGTGGCACAACCTGACTTTGGGACGTTGCTTGGTTTAAATTTTTCTTCACCCTGCCTGTCGGCATGTCTGGGGCTTGTCGGTCACTGTGCTCTCGGCTTTAGAGTGACTAGTTTGTGAATCTAGCTAAAAGTACATAGAGATGGCAATAATTAGTAATTACAGTGTTATGCATGCTTGTTATGAGTGGTTCCTTTAGGCATTATCATGGTTGGAGACTTCCACATCGTGTGCTATTGCGTGTACTTTTTATTTGGTGACACTGACAAAGTATCATTGCTAGTAATGTCGATTTGCGCACACTAGTAAAGGGATTCATTGCTAATAATCTTATATAATTAATAAGTTAATTATATCAATGTGATATTCTTATGGAAATTGTAGATTTTTTTTTTTTGTTAAATTTATAGTATTTAAACAATTATGTAACGTTTTGGAATTATGCAGCAACTCTCTCTCAAGGGGTTTGCTGGAGACACGGCCAAGGCACATGCAAAAACTAGCATGATTGCGGGGGAAGGAGTAAGCAATATTCGGACTGTTGCGGCTTTCAATGCACAAGAAAAAGTCCTTTCTCTGTTTTGCCACGAACTCCGTGTGCCACGACAACAAAGTCTTCGCCGCAGTCAGTCTTCGGGGTTTTTATTTGGTCTTTCACAACTTGCACTTTATGCGTCGGAAGCTCTAATCCTATGGTACGGTGCCCACCTTGTTAGCAAAGGCGTCTCTACCTTCTCGAAGGTCATTAAGGTATTCGTAGTCTTGGTTATCACAGCAAATTCAGTTGCTGAAACTGTTAGCCTAGCTCCCGAGATTATAAGGGGTGGTGAAGCTGTTGGCTCTGTATTTTCCATTCTTGATCGCTCTACTGGGATAGATCCTGATGATTCTGAAGCTGAGCCAGTTGAATCAATTCGTGGTGAGATTGAGCTCCGTCACGTTGACTTTGCGTATCCTTCACGTCCAGATGTGATTGTCTTCAAGGACCTCAGCCTTAGAATCCGTGTTGGCCAAAGCCAAGCACTTGTTGGGGCGAGTGGATCAGGAAAGAGTTCGGTAATAGCACTAATCGAGCGATTTTACGATCCAATGGCTGGTAAGGTTATGATTGATGGAAAAGATATTCGGAGGTTTAACTTAAAGTCGCTCCGACAGAAAATTGGGTTAGTGCAGCAGGAGCCAGCACTTTTTGCGGCCAGCATTTTAGACAACATTGCCTACGGGAAAGATGGTGCTACGGAAGCAGAAGTAATCGAAGCAGCTCGAGCTGCAAATGTGCACACATTTGTTAGTGGATTGCCCGAAGGCTATAAAACTCCAGTAGGTGAAAGAGGAGTTCAACTCTCCGGGGGACAGAAACAACGGATAGCGATTGCACGAGCTGTTCTCAAGGACCCATCAATCCTTCTACTCGACGAAGCAACGAGTGCTCTTGATGCTGAGTCAGAATCCGTGCTACAAGAAGCACTTGAAAGGCTGATGCGAGGCCGAACCACTGTTCTTGTGGCTCACCGGCTTTCCACGATACGGAGGGTGGATAGTATCGGTGTTGTGCAGGATGGACGTATTGTCGAACAAGGCAGCCACTCCGACCTTATCAGCCGCCAGGACGGAGCGTATTTCAGGCTCTTGCAACTACAACACCAACACATATGAGAAATAAAAATTGGTGAATGTAGTAGGGCTTGGTTTTGGGAGGTTTATTATGTTTGAATCAGTTAATCATTATTTTTGTTCCATTTTGTATGTTTATAGTTGTAGATAAGGGGATTTGAAGAACAAGTGAACTCCTGTTCATGGAGAAGCATATGGAATTAATATTATTATCTGTGTAATGCACGACTCTTTCTATCTGCACGGTTGGCTCTTAATTATTTTTTTTTTCTTTAAACTTTTTCTTTTTTTTTGGATAAAGTCCAATGCCTTTTTAACACTTCAAACAGCTAAAAAGCAGAAAAGGAGGAGCTATCTTTCCAGCTCAAGGGACCTTTTTTTGCTCAGGTTTCAACTTTTTTTCCCCTTTCTTTTGGCTTCTGGATTAAAGCACATTTCTTTTAGATTTGAGGCCAACATAAATTATTGTATAGTTAACACAAAAGTGATTAGATCTATCCTTCTCTCCTTTTCTTGAAACTTTTGGAGAGACACTTAATGTGTCTATATAGCTTGTTCTTTTGTAATAAAGCAATAGCTGGATCAGTAATAATTGTGTAGAAAAGTTTCGAGAAGGTGAGATTACATTTTGGCGGTTCGATATGGGATTAAGGCATGTTACGAGTTCTGAGAGCAACAAAACCAGTGTAATAATCGAAAACGAGCAAGGAAACACAAACTATTACGCCCAATTATTGCAGCTAATAATGCTTTCCCTCGACCAAGTAAATTTCTTGAATACGATTCAAGATTCGTTTTATTGTATCTTTGATTTCTATAAGCAAACAAGGACCAAGCTAAGAAAAATGCCCTCTCACATTTTGATGAAAGTACTATCTACAGTCTACAGTGTGCCTGCCTTCTCAACATCTTTAATAAAGTGAGTGACTCAGTCAGGTACAGAAACGTGCCCTACTCTTTACAGTACCATTAGAAAATATCGACAAACGACAAATAGTAACTGCATTCACTTGAATGGAGCGTGAACTTACCCAACCAACCCACCCCAAAAAAAAGGTGTGTACTTGCACTGTCATAAAGAAGGTTCAAGAAAGAGATGGCCCTGAACTGGTTTTACAGTAAATGATATTGGCAGTGGGATTCAAAAAGAATCGAAGAGCAGTGGAATGGAGGTCCTCAAAAAATTTGCACAGAAAGACATGTGCCAATGCAAAGACTGCATTTATAAACAGACCAATAATATAGCCCTACGGCTAGGGATGTCAAATGGACAGAGCGGCTCGTTGGTTCGGTCGCTCGACTCGTTAAAACTCAGTTCATGGACGGCTCAATCCCACGAGTGGCTCGTGGGCCTTGTGAAAAGTATAAATATTTTTTTTAAAAAAGGAGCAAAAATGGGCAAAAAAAAAAAACAAAAAAACAAAAAACAAAACACGAGCTCGCGAGCGGCTCATGGGCTCGGCTCGGCCCTCGAGCTTGTGGCTCGTGAGCTCACGAGCTCGGGGGGCGAGCCGAGCAACAAGCCGAGCTCGAGCTCGGCTCGCGGCCATCACTACCTACAGCTGGGATGTATTTATCTTACATGTTGATTTGTTGTACTATTTAGTCGTGTGAAAATGAATTCCTTATTTACCAGTATTGTTAAGTCTAGCATACTAAGAACATATCCAACAATGGTGGTGTTCAATTGAGGATAAATTGGTATATTTAAAATCATTTTTGCATTCTCATTTACATTCAGATAGATCTAAATCCAAATTTTGCTCGAATGGGAATATCTAAATCCACTTTTTGTCGACTACTTTGAAGATTTAAATCTCTGTATTACACCATCATTGAGATGCTCTAACAACATCGTCTCTTTAGGTATACACGTGATCTCGAGCTTCTGGTAAACAAAATTAGAAGCACGCCAGAGCTTTTGCTAAGCACAAATAGAAGCACATTAATTAAATATAAAGATGTATATGGATTTACTTCAACGTGGGGATGAATTTACTGGCCACTACTACTTTTCCAAAGGATATTACAAAATGCAAAATTTGTACAGCTTAATGACAAAAAGTTGAAATAGGATTTTAATTTTTCTTTTGTCGCTTATGCCAAGAAAATTTTGTAGTGGTTTAGACGAAATTGAGGACTTTTAACATATTCGTTCACACTGGAACAGGAATCGCTTAGCAGAACCCCAGTTGGCCTTTTCTACAGCCATGCAATTCTAGGGACACATCACATGTATAAAACTCAACAACTGATTTTTATACGTCAATGTCGATGTAAAGGTGTCAAAATTTATGGGACAAGCCACGTCGATACATCTGTATTTAGCCCTCGTTTGAGCTCCATTCTTTAGATAAAAATGAATTTTTGAATAATATATTAATAAAAAATGTGTGGTTAAAAAATAAAGAAAAATTTTAAATTTGTGTGCAATATTATTTTATTAAAGAATATATGATTAAAATGATTTCAAACTATTTAAGAATGATTTTTTTTCAAAGAATGTGAATCAAACAGGAGCTTAGACTCAATTGAAACATAATATACATGTTCAAAAGGGGGAAAATCATTTGTACAAAGGAAGGGTTCACAAAAGGGCAGTGCTGGGCGTACAGCCCAGCACATTACAAAACCCTTATAGGGTTCTCACAAATGGGTGGAGTCGAGATTTTTTTCTTCGTTTTTTATTACATCGGGGCCACGTGGGACTGACTCCATGTGAGGGGTCGGTAAGACCTCTGTAAAAAAAAGCTCTGTACATAGAGCTTTATACTTCACAGAATCCGTCTAGAAGAGACACATGAGGTCAGTTCCACGCGAAACCCATGGGTGATAAAAAAAATTTGCAAAAAAATTGCCAACCTCTCACCTTGTGTGTTTTCTGTAAGATTCCTGTGAAGCCCCGTTCTATACACGTTGTGGGATTCTAAAAGGGAATTCTATTTAAAAATATGGTTTGAGCCTAACTCAAAAGCATCTTTCAAATTTGTAAGCAGGACCAACTGGCAAACCCACCAATAATGTTCTTTAAAATTTATATTTACCTTTTAAAATTTTGGAGATATTTAGCTTAACAAGACTAGCAACTGAGTCATACCAATTGTGTCTATAGATCACGATTAAGGCAAATTCTTCTACTCAGAATCTGAAAACATTTGCCTTAAACATTAACTAAGCCTCACTGCTTTCGACGCTTAATTGTCTTGTGTGTCATTTCGTGTACGAGTTATCAGAGACGATGTTGTGAAGGCACCAAGGCGGTGCTATATGGACAGGGGCTGTCCAAACAGGGGGCATGTGGCTCTCCCTTATTGGCCGGTACCTGAGCTGTGAGGCACCTACCAATAGGGGACGCCACATGTCCCCTGTTTGGATAGGCCCTGTTTGAGAAGAATTGTTCTCAAATTTGTCCACATAGTGTTCACTAAGAGCAGACCTCATTTCCTCAAGTGTTTTCCACCTGCAACACTGCATAATTATTACATGGTGGTGCAATTCCAATACAAAAAATATTAATTGACATCAAGCATGTAATTTAATTTTTCTTTACAAAGGTTTTCTTTTTTTTTATTTTTGGTCGTTCGATGGTAACAACCTCCACCACCTTGTGAATCAATACCAAGAGTCTTCGGGACCAAGTTACATCATTTTCATTAATCGAGGATAAAATTTTCAATGACCCACTGTAGTACATCTCAACATTTAAAAAAGATCCTCAAATTATTGAGAACATAATGCAGCAAACATTTCAAGACATTATCTCAAAAACCCTTATAAGATGTTCCTTCATCGACATACATGGATATAGATGATTGGAATACACGTGATGTGTTGAAATTATTGTTCAAATCAATAAAATAGGCTTTGGAATGAAAGTGGATTTTGTGGGCAAAACTTGGGCCTATGCGACCACATAGGCCTGTGGGGGCTACGGTTACATAGTGACAGTCGGGGCATAAATGACATGCAAGGTATTGATCTATGCGACCGCATAGGATTGTTCTATGTGGTCGCATAAAACAATTAACTTGCCATTAAGGCCCTTTTTTGTTTGAATTTTGGTGGCCTTTGGAGAATGTCTTGCAACTTTTCATGTATTTTGGTACCATTTTATGTAGTATTGATTAAAGCCTATAAATAAGTGATCAATGATCAATACAAAATATATAACAATCACTTGAGAACAAATTCATTCCACAAAAGATCAAGACCTCTTTCTATTACATTCAAAAATCCTAGTTTTTTGTGTTCTTAAGTTTTGAAGTAATTTCACTAATGCTCAAGTGTTTAATCCTTTTCAAGACTTGATAAATCCTACAAATCATTTGCCAAGAGTCCCTTTAAGCACAAAATACAATTTGAAAGGAGACAAATATTGTTTGAGCACAACGATTAGGTACTTAAGCCTTTATCTTCATTTTCATCTTCTTGTTATTTGTTCTTTGTTCGTCTCCATTCCCTTTGTGTGGAAACAATTTTTCAACATTCTCAAACGATATTTTGCAATGGAAAACAAAACTACAATGGCGACGGTCAAATTGATGAATCAAGTCAAATTGATGAATCAAGATCTTGTTCGTCTAGATCGATTTGATGGGACAAATTTCACAAGATGACAAGACAAGTAGAAGTTTCTTCTCATGACGTTGAAGATATTCTACACACTAGATCTAAAATTGGCACTGCTACTAGAACCAACAAATGGAGAAACCGATGTCGTAGGATTCAAAAGTTAAAAGCGTTGAGAAGATGAGCTTATTTGCCGCTGCTATATTCTAAATGCCATATCTGACAAACTTTATGATCTCTATACAAATACGTCATCAGCAAAAGAAATATAGAAAGCTTTAGAAAACAAATTCAAAGCCGAAGAAGAATTTACTAAGAAATTCTTAATGTCCAGGTATTTAAATTTTAAATTCCTTGATAAAATTCCACTTTTTCCATAAATGTATGAATCACAAGTTCTTGTCAACAAGTTGAAGGTGGTCAAAATTGAAATACCAAAATCTTTCCAAGTAGGAGCAATCATTGCGAAACTCCCTGGAACTTGGAAAGGATATTGAAAGAAAATTATGTATAGTTTTGAATATTACTCTTTGGAACAATTGTAGAAACATCTTTGAATTGAAAAAGAGTCAAGGACAAGAGACAAGAATTACAATTCTTATGAAGACACTTCAAAAGCCAATACGGTGGAGAAGATCGAATCTTCTAACAAGTCCAATGAGAGAAAGCCTTCA